TCCACACGTGCACCAAGGCACGTGCATAGATACTTGCACACATTCATCATAGATACTTAAGTAATACATATGTCCTGATAAAATTAATTCATTTATTTATTAGGAGTATATAACTAAAGATATTCACTCTATCATATAGGATCTCAATCTCTCTCTCGGCTTTTTGATGGGTTTCTCTGTGTAACAACCCTAGCTGTCCTGGCTTTGTAGCCCAGGCTAGCCTCAAACTCACAGAGATTCACCTACCTCTGCCTCCTGAGTGCTGGGATTAAAGGCATGCGCCACCATGCCATAGGATCCCTTTAATGACTACCTTCAGGAGAAATACTTGGTTATATTTCAACTCCAAATCTATATCTATCTCTCTCTCATACCTGTAGCTACACATGCATGCATGTGGAGGCCAGAGGACAATCTTTTTTTTGAGACAGAGTCTCTCACTGACCTGAAATTTACCAAATAGCCTAGGCCGGCTGACCAGAGCACCCAGGACCCACCTGTCTCTACTTGCCCAGTGCTGGGATTATAAGCATATGCCATCATGCTTGGCTTTTTACATGGGTTCTGAGGCTTAAACTCAGGTCTTTATGCTTGCACAGAAAATACTTCTACCAACTGAGTTCTTTCCCCAGCACCCTCAACACTTTTTCTTAGCAATAATTTATATTTCTCTTATAAAAAATGCCCATGGGTATGTTCGTTATCTGTCTGTCTCCCTGCCCCCTTCACACTCACTAGCAGAAAGCTTAGATTCAAACTTGAAGATAATGACTATAAATATTTAGGTCACTGTGGCTACATTATAGTTCCATTCAGTATCCTATTTTGATTCCCTTCAACTCATGCCATTTTTTTAAACTATTCTTATGAAAGTTTTTTTTTTTTTTGTTCTTATGAATGTTCTTAACTCCTTTCCGGAGGAGGTTTTCATGGATGCAGCTAGCATGGGCCTCACATGTGCCCTGCTCTGCTCATACTAGTGAGGAACACAGTCGGGGTGGCTAAAGGTGATCCCAAGAAGCCAAGGCTATGATGCCTGCTTATGCTTTCTTTGTACAGACATGCAGGGAGAAGAACATAAGAAGAAAAACCCAGAGGTCCCTGTCAATTTTGCAGAATTTTCCCAGAAGCACTCTGAAGTAGATGACAATGTCTGAGAAAGGTGGATGATGTGTGCACGTGGCCAGGAAAGGAAGGATTACAAATCAGCTAAGGGAAGCAAGAAGGGAAAAAGATCTAATGTCACCCAGAGACCACTGTCTGCATGTTCCTTGTCCTGTTCTGATTTCTGCCCTGAGATCAAATCCATAAACCCTGGCATCTCCACTGGTGATGCAGCACAAATGGTGGGTGACAGGCGGACCGGCTCAAGTGACAGCGAAAAGCAGCTGTGCGTCACTCAGGCCGTGGAGCAGAAGACGCATGGGAAGGAGGCTTCTGGCCGCAAGTCACAAACGTCCCACAAAAGTTGCCAGAAGAGGAAGAGAAGAAGGCAGCAGCAAGGGGGAGGAATGAAAAACCAGACCAAACCTAAGTCTCTCCTTGTGAAACTTTGAGTAGGGATGCATTGTTTCCTACATACCTCTTTTTTTTTTTTTAAATTTAAATACACTTTTATTTTTTGAAATTAAAATATTTTTGTTTTATTATTATTATTATTTAATTAACTTTTTTCATTTATTTTACATATTGTTTTGACACAGGATCTTACTTTTGTAGCCCTGGCTGGTCTGGAAATCTCTGTGTAGACCAGGCTGGTCTTGAATCCACAGTGATCCGCCTGCCCCTACCTCCTGAGTGCTGGGATTAAAGGCATGCTGTCAACACCAAGCCTTGCTGTCGACACATCTCTTATTTGAGTCCTGTTTACTGCCTTCATTCATTTTAATTATAAAATTCCATCATGATCGTGTTATAGGTGTCTGGACACCTGGAAGCTGTATAAGTTATAGATATATTTTAAAATGAAAGGTGGAGGCTGGAGAGATGGCTCAGGGGTTAAGACCATGTATTAATTCCTTTTCTAACCTTTTTTTTTTTCCCCGAGACAGGGTTTCTCTGTGTAGTTTTGTGCCTTTCCTGGAACTCCCTCTGTAGTCCAGGCTGGCCTCGAACTCACAGAGATCCACCTGCCTCTGCCTCCCGAGTGCTGGGATTAAAGGCATGCGCCACCACCGCCCGGCATTAATTCCTTTTCTGTTGCTGTGGTAAAACACCACGACAAATCAACTTGTAGAAGAGGCCTGTTTCCAGAGGGTTAGAATCCATAGTGGCAGGGACAGCATGCTAGCAAGTGGAGCAGGAAGCTGAGCGCTCACACCTCAGCCGCCCATGACTCAGAGAGATCGAACTGGGAGGAGGTGAGGCTTTCCCCTCTCAAAGCCCGCCCCCAATGACATACTTCCTGCAGCAAACCTGTGGAAGTGTTACAGCTCTGCGGGGAAAGTTTGCCCCGATACAGTGTTGCAGCTCTGAAGGGAAAGGTATCCTGGCAGTCAGAAGTTAAGGAATACCACCAAGTCACGCTGCACAACAAGCCTCACTTAAGAGATTTGTCGGTAGAGACCCAAGAGGGCGGCTGCCTCTGCTCTGGCAAGAAACAGAGCTAAGCAGAAGGTGGGCTTTATGGAGGGTTTCTTGTGTGTGTGGGGAGGGGGGCAGAAGGCAGGCTTTATAGAGGGTTTTCGTGTGTGTGTGTGTGTGTGTGTGTGTGTGTGTGTGTGTGTGTGTAGGGGGGACAGAAGGCAGGCTTTATAGAGGGTTTCTTGTGGGGGGGCAGAAAGGGGGCTTTATAGAGGGTTTTCTTGTGGGGGGGCAGAAGGTGGGCTTTATAGAGGTTTCTTGTGTGTGGGGTCGGGTGGAGCTTCCCAGGGTGGCCTGGGATTGGAGAGATTGTGTGGCCTGATCTTGGGGCAAGTGCAGGAATTGATGGGATTTTGTGCTCAGGGATAGGTGGGATTGAGTAAATTTTTTCACCCAGAAGTGGGTTCAGACCTTTTACCTACAAGCTGCACCTCCTAAACCTCCCCCAGATAGCACCATGAACTGGAATCAAGCATTCAAATCCCTAAGACTATAGGGGACATTTATCATTCAAACCATCACAGCCCTTTTGCAGAGGACTCGGGTTCAGTTGCCAGCACCCACAATAGTGGCTCACAACTGCCTGGAACTTCATTTGGAGAAATTCCAGTGCCCTCTTCTGGCCTCCTCGGGCACTGCACATGGCGCATGTATACAAAGCAGGCAAAGAGGCATGCCTGTAAAATGAAATAAATATTTAAGATAGATAAAGCAAATGAAAAGGCATTTGTGTTCTTATACCATGGTTTGCTCTTGGTGTGAGAAGGCACCTGAAGCTGTTTTTGGCATTTTATTTTCCATTTGTAAGGTACAAGGTCAATGTCAACTGTATGTATCTAAGATTTGTAAAGAGACCAAAATAACTGAACAGACTCCTGATGTGCTTTCCTTATGTGGGGGCTGTGGGGGAGATGCCTTTTAGAGACACGAGTTGTAGCTCTGGGGACACCTAGAGGCTGGACCTGCTGGCACTGCAGGCGACATCCATTGTGCTTTGGGTTGTCTTGGTTTTTTTTTTTTTTTAAATATATAGTAACCTGGCATTCTGTTGCAACTCTTAGTGTAGAAAAGGGGGGTGGTGATTAGTAGGTATGAGAACATTTGCAATTTTTTTTAGTTATATTCAGTATATTTCAATGACTTAGTGTTTATTTGTTTATTTATTTATTTTTAAACTAGAACTCTTGATCATCAGCAAAGCCACAAACAGTTGTTTCAATGGAGGTAGAAGAACCTGCGACCTTAAATAATTAGCAGTGCTTTGCTACTGCCTGCATGTTTAGAGTACTGGAATGTTTATAAAGTTAAACAGTATTACATCAAAAGTCACTATGGAGCATGGAGTTACAAATAAACAAATAT